TGAAAAGGAGACAGCCGGAGTGGGTGGTTGATGTTGGAGGTAGGAGAAAAAGAGAGATTAGCGGAAGGGAGAGCTCAGCACGTGTAACTTGAGAGAAGCACTAATGGGAGTTCAGGATAGCAATGAGAGGAGTTACATTTCTCGGATAACATGATGAGAGAGGCGAGAGCAAGGTGGACTGGGGAAGGAGCTTGCCGGCTGTGAGATGCAAATGGGGAGAGCCTAAGTGAGGAGCTAGCAAGTACGGAGGAGTTCGCGTAGGAGGATGAGTTGCATGAATGGGAAGCTAGAGCTGAAGGGAATGGGTTATCATATTATTTCCTTTTATTTTTTTTATTTTTTTTTTAATGTGAGGTGACAAATTTAGATTGGAGGAGGTGGACGGGAGCATATGGGTTGAAGATTGATTGGAATGTTGCTTAGCAGAGAAGAAATGGAGAGGGTTTAAAAGTTCTTTATTTCTAAATGTTTTTTTTAATATAAACGTCAATTTACCTGTCATCGACTAATGTACCAAATCCTAACAGTATGGGCATCCTCCCTAGGCAAAGTTGACATTCCGGACATGCTAGTGCTGTACGTTTTCCAATCAGAGGCCGTTTGAGCAAATTTTGGTGGCAGTCGAGACAAATCGGGATTAGATTAAGCACATCATGTTGAAGGTCCGTCATTTGCTTCATGGTTGCTCCTTTCGAGCATGTAAGATAACTTCTTAAATAATTTTGATACCTTGAAAACATCGACAAAGTCTGATTCATGGTTTGAGGCATCTTTGGGTGGTTTTGACAACATTTGAAATGATTTAGCTTTGATCCATGAGTTGTCACAGTTGTTGCTCGCTGTTTTCTCTGAAATTGATCGAGCCATATCATATACAGATATGGAGGTCAACATTCAAATGTGAAGTGCACATTAACCAAGTCCTTTATAAAGCATAATCATTATTTTTTGTATCAATCTCTTATCTAGGATGTACTTTTTATTGAAAAAAGAACTGAATAGTTCCCATATTATTAACAAGGGAACAAAATAATCACAGACTACGTAAAAGAGCAATTCAATCTCTAGGCTATTTAAATGAAGACTAAAATAGCCATCAAACTATTTAAATAGGTACAAGGGGATCATTTTGATTCTTATTTAAATTGTTGAGAACAAAATGATCTTTTACATAATTTAGGATCATTTCGATCCCCTACAAATAGTCAGGGATTATTTTGGCCATTTTCTCAACTTTTAACTTAAAATACCTGAAGATGTACATTTCATAAGCTTTTTAGTAAAATATTCATTATTGATTTTATAGTGTCTTATCTTACAACTCCCAACCATTGCAACTTTATTATCATAAAAATGTTAAACTGATTGTAGTTGATTTTGTGTAATTTTTTGAGAACTATAAATTACATCATTTGCCCACAACTAATGTTTTTGCTAGTACTAGGGAAGCTACATGCCTAAATATGTACATTTTGTAAGCTTAAAATAATCTTTTACATAGTCTGGGATCATTTTGATCTCCTACAAATAGTCGAGAATCATTTTGATCTTTTTCTCAATTTTTATCTTAACAAACCTAAAGATGTACATTTAGTAAGCTTGGTTGGAAAATTTTCCATTATCAATTTTATAGGGTCTTATCTTACAACTCTCAAACATCACAACTCCATGACCCTAAAAATGTTAAACTAATTGTAGTTGATTTTATGTGTGGTTTTCTAGGAAAATAAAAATTACATCGCTACCCACAACAATGTACTTTGCTAGTTTTAGGGAAGGTACATACAAAATCTCAAAAAAAGTCCCAAGTTCACTGGTTATATGCTTCAAAGTAAGCATCAGGCAAAAAAGATGTCTAGCAATATATTTAAATATTTCCCTTTTACATTCTATAACATCAAAACCTTTTCTAAAGATCCCTATACCCTTGGTTTATCCTTGGTAGATGGTCTATGTTGGTATGTAGATTTTAAACCTTTTCTAAAGATCCCTATACCCTTGGTTTATTGGTAGATGGTCTATGTTGGTATGTAGATTTCTTCTCAAATTTCCTCGTCTTTTGTGATTGGAAATGCAAAATCCCTATTACAACCATATAATATTAAATTCAAGGCTGCCAAGTGACACCCATAATTCTTGAATTATTTTTTTTCAGATTTCAAAGTCATCTATTAAAATATTTCCCTTTTACATACTATAACATCAAAACCTTTTCTAAAGTTCCCTATACCCTTGGTTTATCCTTGGTAGATGGTTTATGTTGGTATGCAGATTTCTTCTTATATTTCCTCGTATTTTGTGATTGAAAATGTAAAATCACTATTACAACCATATGATTTTAAATTCAAGGCTGCCAAGTGCCACCCATAATTCTTGAATTATTTTTTTCAGAGTTCAAGGTCATCTTAGTTGAATTTAAGACGGAACACTGAACAGTGAACTGTATTATATCCAGCAAACATGCCAAGAAATCATAATTTAAACCTCATATTATGTCCAACTGGAAAGCTCATCTTATTGAGCAAGTTCCTACCGCACACGTACTACTTTTGCACAATGCAATAACCAATATATATACTATTTTAAAATGGTAATTGATGCTAATTTTATGGCTTATCATCAGTTATAACCACCTTAACTTCATTAGCTCAGTTCTTTATAGGCACGTATATGGTCAAATTCAAATGTAAGTTGTGAAAATAATTGCCATCATATATGTACATGTCAAAGTTTCCAACAAAAAATAAAAATACCCTAGTAATAAAGTTCAGTCCCAACCTTCCATCACTAATCCTTTCCACAAAAGAATCACTAAGGCTCGCAAAATCCTTCTAACATAATTGAAGATACAAATTAAGTCTATTGTCTATCTTAATCATTTTTAAAACTCTAATTCCATAGGTTTTCTAGTTAGCTTAGCCAGGGTAAGCTATTCAAGATAATCGAATAACTAACAATCAACATATACCATTCAAATCCAAATTAAGTCTATTCTCTGTCTTAATCATTGCATCAACATTTTGGAGATACAATCGAAAGCTATGCACTCACATGTAGCACTTAATAATCAAACTGAAACTCAAGCATTGGAATGTAGATTACAAGAAGCGATTCCTTGATTCTTTGGTAGTCATTGAATTATCCCCTATTATTGTAAAGCTTTACTTGGTGTTGACAATATTATAGTATCAAAGTTATATCAAAACATACAAAAATAATGGTCCAACAAATCTATAGAATATATTAAGAAATCTTACTCACATCAGGAACAAATTAATAAAGATCACACTTGGCTAAAATGATATCTTTGATATTTCTTGATCATTAGAGTAATATGCTCGCTCAATCTAGAATCAAATCGTTGGACCTCTTGCCACCAACAAATAAATTATCCATCTTAATACCATAAAGTTTTCCTACAAAATCAGAAATTTTTCCTACAAAATCACCTTGTTCAACAATTGTAGCCTACAAATAATCATAGTGACCATCATTCTTTTAAAAAATGAAAAAATTAAATCTATTAAAGTGTTAATCCAATAAAACCGTCCAATAATTTCTGAAGTTACTATAGTGCCCATATGGTCAATAACATGATCAACCTCAAATTCTAGAGGAAGCCAAGATGTTCATTCAGAAAAAGCCAGCAAAGTTTGTTGTTTGTTGTACCTATATTAGTCCCATTCTTGTTATATAACAACAAATCGTCAGGGAACAAAATTGCTGCAAAGGTTTTGCTTCAATCTACAAGCAACAAAAAGCCGAACACACTAAGGTCAACATTATATCCCATCTCCTTATTGTCCAATGGAATGTGGTTTAAACAAAAAATAATAACAATATAAAGATAGTGGGCCCCATAGCATCATTGCTTCTTCCATTTACTTGTTCAAACATTGATGCAAGTCATTACATACAGAAATGCCCAAGTTGTTTGCTTCCCTCCAGCTGATGTGACTCAGAAGAGGGCAACAAAACTCAACCTATCACAGTGACCAGAGTGATGTCCTGAGCATGTCAAAGCTGTAAGTCATCCGACGATTGTGTAAGCCCCTCCCAGTAATGCAAGCCATTGTACTTTTAGCCCAGCACAGTTACCGGTGATGAAGAAATCTCTTCTCGAACTGGATCAAAGATCAACATAGAGGTGCAATCATTTGATCAAATCAAACATTTATGGCAAAGAGGTCTTCAAACTATGGTTTGATGAATAACAACAGTGCAAATAGTGGTCTCCGCTCTCGGTAGAATCAAAGAACAGTGATAATAAGTTTTCACGGTCATCTGATCCAAGATCAACAACCCTTAAACTCAACGAAACTAAAATCAACAGTTAATTCAAACTTTATTCCCACATTAGTGTGTGAAAGAGAAAACTATCGTGAAGTAGGATAAAAGATGATAGTAGTGTGGAGAACTGAATGTGGCGGGTTCTACTGCTACTTGCAGCAAAATTTGGCAGTAAAATTTGGTGAGGACATCAAGTAGAGCGGCGATTAAGGAGATGATTTGTCAATGATATTAATGATGGGAAATGGAAAAAGCATTCATCAATTGTGGGGCCAGCTTGAACGATGAAGGCATGAGGTGAAGATGTGGTTTGTACAGGGAGTGTAAGCAAGTTTTCTCAATGAGGTCAAGAAAAGGAGATTAGGGCATCACATGAAGAGAGTTCAAAAGGAGGGAGCAGAAATGCATCAGTGAGAAGATGGCAGAGAATGGAAGATATAACAAGAGAGGGAAAACGCCGATGTACAAAATCATAGGAGGTGTGATTTGTGATGTTGGAGGGGTGCAAGCAAGTGTTCTCAATGAGTTCAAAAAAAGGAGATTAGGGACATACAATTTTATCCAAAAGTAACAAACATAAAACATTAATTATCAACCTTAAACAAACACTGAATTTAAAATTAAGCTAATGATAAATTAATCCACCATAATCACAAGCAAAACATTATAATTCAAGTCAACAACAATTTTTAAACAAATAATTTACATACCATAAAACATGCTACAAATGTTCTTTCGAAGCATGTAGTAGAGGTTTGAAAAAGAATCCTCCCAATCTTGTTGTCTTTGTGATAAAAATTCTGTTTCTACATTACAAACAGAAACAATATACAATATGTTAATATAGCAGTTTAAACAAAAAGATAAGGAGCTATAGGTGAAGTGAAAAAACCTCCTTTTGTAGCGGATAAAGTCATTGCAATAATGATGGAAGTAGGCAATAGAGATTGCGGAAATGCCCAAGATTGAATAGCTTTAGAATACATGACTTCAGTAGGTGTACCGTGTCCTAGTTTACAAGCAGTTTGTTGGTCCGTGTTGGAAAGATAATTATAAGTGTGTTGCTCACTTTCAAAGAAAGCAGGGGTAGCATTTACTCTGTGACACCTAAAAGAGATTGGCGGTTAGAAGAAAAAATCCACCATGATTTGTATAATAAAATGGAAAAATAAAAACAGTAGTGGAACTACATAGCAAATAAAATTTGTAACTAAGAAGCATACGAAGCTCAAACATAACTTCAATACAAAATGAAGTTTAATTATAACCCTTTCCAAACACTACTTTAACAAATGATTATACAAAAGTGCTTGATAAATTGAAACCCTGAATCAAAGAAATACATGATGGTAATACCTTGCACATGAAAAATCCTATTTTATTAGTATGCAAACACTCATAGCAACACATTAAACTATTTGAAACAATAAAATGACTGTGTCAAACATATTTACTTTTAATTTATTGGCATATCGATATGAATATTGTGTTTCATGCTAGCATGGTAAAATTATAGGAGAGGGTAATTGAACATAGGTTAAGACGTGATACAATGAGAGGTTTGATGGAGTTTTGTATACTAGCATGGTAAAATTATAGGAGAGGTTGCTGGATTTTTGCAAACACTCTTAATCAGTTTGGATTTTTGTAGGGCAAGTCTACTATGGATGTCATACATTTATTGAGAGGTTTGATGGGGAAGTACAGAGAGAGAAAAGAGGATTTAGATATGATTTTTATTGATTTAGAAAAAACATATGATAAGCTTCCAAGATAACTTTTTTGGAGAGTTCAAGAAAAGAAAGGTGTTGATACAACTTATATTAAAGTCATTAAAGATATGCATAAATAATAAAGATATTACTTATGTTCGAATAGAAGGAGGATTGACCAAGTATTTTTCTATTTCAGTTGGATTACATCAAGGGATTACATCAAGGATCATAAGCCCATATCTATTTGCTTTAGTTATGGATGCTCTTACTGGGAATATACAACAAGATGTACCTTTGTGTATGTTTTTTGTTGATAATATCCTTCTAGTCGATAAGACGAGAGGAGTTCAGGAAAAACTTCAATTATGGAGGTCTACATTGGGATCTAAAGGCCTTCGTTTGAGTAGATCTAAAACTGAATACATGAAATATAATTTTATTAGTAGTAGCTCTAGTGGCATGGTTGTATGGGTGATATAATTTTATTAGTAGTAGCTCTAGTGGCATGGTTGATAAAATCATTAAAAGCTGTGAACGTTTTAGATATCTTGGGTCTACTGCTAAAAGGTGTGAACGTTTTAGATATCTTGGGTCTACTATTCAAAGTGATGGTGATATAGATGGGGATGTTCTTAGTAGAATTCAGGTTGGTTGGTTGAAGTGGAGGAATGCATCAGGCCTATTGTGTGATAGAAAAGTATCGCTTAAACTTGAAGAAAAATATTATAAGATGGAGATGAGACTTACAATGCTTTATAGTGTAGAATTTTGGCCTTTAAAAAAGAAGCATAAAACTAAGTTAAGTGCTGTTGAGATGAGAATTCTTAGGTGGACGAGTCACTTAACATTTAGAGACAAAATGTAAAACGAATCTATCAATGAAATGGTTAGTGTAGCTCCAGTTGCACACAAGATTAAGAAGAGTCATCTTAGATGGTTTGGTCACATAAAACATCAACTATCTGATAATCCGATTAGGAGAGTAGATATTTTAGATTCAACTTATGTTAAGAAAGGCAGAGGTATACCTAAAAATGCTTGGGCATATTTTATAAAACATGACCTTAATCTTTTAGAATTAAATAAAAATATGACACTCAATAGGACAAAATGGAGAAAAAAGATTCATGTAGCCGACCCCACTTAGTGGGATAAAGGTTTGTTGTTGTTGTTGTATGTTAGCATGGTAAAAATTAGAATCTTGTGCCTTCACATTTTTATTTTGGTAACTGCCAAACTACCAAGACTAAGAGACCTCTCATTTGACGAGTTATGTTGTCTGCACCAATTATATAAATCATCACGCTTATTATCCATTTTCTCATTCTTTGCATAAAATGTTGAGAAGCATCAAATATTGATACATTATGCCTCCTGATAATGGTCATCACTAGGAAGTCACTGGTGATTGATGATACAACTTCTAGAGCATGTGTGTTGAAATGTCGGGCAAATTGTCTAATTGTATGGCTAGTATTCTTAGATTGTCAACATGATGAGTTATATGTTGTGTTCCTTTTTAGATTGTAAGGATTGTCAAGAGTTACAAATCTCCTTAGTTTGTTTACGTGTAGAGATGCAAATGAATCAACACTTAACGAGCAACTCAAACTCGGCTCGATTAATACTCAATCAACTTTGTTCAAACAAGTAAATAAACAAATTTAAATTCTTTTATAAATTTGAAGGTTAAATAAACCAAGTTTAAACATAGTCTGAATTATTTATTTATAATTAAAAATAAACTTTTTTATTGTTCAAGAAGTAATTTGATGCATGCTCGATATTAAGCTAAATGATAACTAATAAAAAAATTTTGATTTAGGACTTATTTAATTGCATATTTAATAATAAAATATTATAATTTAATATCAATAATATTTTAGGATTAATTACTAATTATATAATTATGTTATTAATTAACCCAATAGATTAACTTAGTACATCATTATTTACCATATTTGATCCATCAAGCCTCTTTATAATAATTAATTTATCATCATATAAATATATAATATATATTTATTAATAAAAAAATTTACATTAATTATGTAATAGTATATATGATTTTTGCCCTTCCATAGGCCATGATTCGTTCAGCACTCAGCAACCTATCCCCCTCTTCCCTTTCCGAAGTCTCGCCTTGCATATTTCATTTTTATTACCCTTCGAGTAGACTATGATTCACTCATACAAAATATTTCATATCTAGGTAAGCATTCATAAATTTTTTTTAGCTTTTGATTTTTTTTTCTAATTAATTTATTTGTCATTAGAGGACATGCATATTAATTTAATCTAATTTTTTTTCTTACTTATTTCAATTGCTAATACTTATTTATGTTAATTTATTGCAAGAAAGCTTGCTTGCAACATTAGTTTGCCAAAAAGACCTCTTCATCTTTTTTTTTTCTTTTTTTTTCTTTTGTTTTATTTTTTTGCTAATGAACTAAGACCTCAAAAGAAACTGACATGCCTACCATTCAACTTAAACATTGTAGACGGCAAGGGAAAAACGTCGAAGTCATGGTGGAAACCATGCGTCCTAGAATTATTTCAAGATTCCATTATTTTTCTCTATTAGGATTATCCAAGGCCTATGTTTCTATGGCATCATCATAATCTCAGATAACCTATCCAAAAGCCTTAACAAATTACCAAAAGAATCAGGCTCCCAAAATGCTCCCGGGTAACCAAAATAAATAGAGCATATCTTACAGAAACATAAAGCATATCATATGTTATGCACAAAAGTCAACAAAGAAATCAAAATATACAAGATTAACCCAAATGTATCTTACAGTACATACATCCCACTCAAAGTGTTTAAATCAAATAAATGGGTATCATCAGCATATTATGGTATTTTTCTACTTTGTCTAAAGTCACACAATTGAACTGTCCGTTTAATAGGTCATAGTTTATATTCATGGGGCCAAGCATGCCATATAGTAAGCCTTGGGGTCTTTTTTGTCAGCTTGGGTGTGCTCTCTCTTTTTCTGTGGATTACAAAATCACAAATAAGCTCCAGGGCTATAAAATTTTTAAAAGATCCTAAAATTGATTCAAATGCCTTAAATTAGGAAATTGTCAAAATTCTTTAGGCTTCTAATGATTTCACAGGGGACCATATAAGTTTTAAACGATATAAAAAGAGCCCTGATCCTTATAAAAGTAAATAAAATGCATCAAGCACTACTTTTAAAAGTTTAAAAAAAAATACTTGACTATTAAAAATCAGTAAAATGAAGCAAGGACACAAAATTGCTGGAAATGGTCACAGCTTTTTTAGAAGTTTCAAAATGCCCTTCATGGATAAAAATTACCCAAATAGCCCAATTCATGGTGATATATAACCATTAGCTGATTTTAAGGATACAGACAGTTGCCATTTTTACATAACCTAGTTCAAGAAAGGCTGAGACAACCTTCAAAACATTTGGTGGTTATTTTATTTTTCTTTCATAAATTTGAGCTTTGCGAATAGCATGGACAATTTACCATATTTATAGAAGAAGTGAATAACATATTTAAATATTTGTGTTGTTCTTTGTGTAATGTTGAAAGTTTAGGTGTGAGCTTTGCGAATACATAAGATTTGTGTTCTCTATTCGGTTTAAGGTATGCATTACATGCTATTTTGTTTGGAGGTTGCTCAGTTTGGGGTTTGGTTGGTTGTGATTGTCGTTGCTCTGTTTGGGGTTTGGTTGGTTGTGATTGTCATGCTCTGTTTGTGATTTTATTGGTTGTGGTTAGGCTTTCTCTGGCTAGGGTTTTATTGGGTGTGGTTGCTCTGGTTTGGGCTTGCTTGACTATGATTAGGGTTGCTTTGGTTGACGTTTGGTTGGTTGTTATTGGATTTGTGTTGGTATTGGTTATATTTCTAGGTTGACTTAGTATGACTTTCGGATTTTGCGGTGTATAATCCATGATGTGTGAGGAGAAAACATGATCTGGTAATTTATTTTTACATACAAGGCATCTTGCCTACGCATTGAAAAATGTATTTCATTTTTTTAAAGTTGGTACAACGATCGTTTTTATGTGATACGAAAATATTTAGGTTATATAAATGCAAAATATAGTATGCAAGTAAATGCTTCATCTTGTATTGAAGTATATGAGCATTGCTGGTTTTTAAATATATATTTGGATGGTTGCATAGATACAAGTTAACTCTAATGCATTCATATAACTATTTCTCATTTTCGTGGCTATGTGGTTTTCCACCTTGTCTGCATTTATAATCATGTTGTTATATTTATTATTGTAATAGCATCGTGCATGACATATGTAATGTGGGTTTCGACGGCATATGGGTTTCGACGGCATGTGGGTTTTTGTAATGTAATGTAGAGCAATGATTAAAAAAATTAAAGAGCTCAACTAATC